GTGTCTCTGTCTCTCTTTGTGTTTGTNCAAGAAGAGGCTGGATTGCCATCTGTCAAAAATGGTGTAGGGTCTCCTGCTTGGGCTGGGGATTGGACTAGATGACCTTACAAGGTCCCTTCCAACTCTGTTAAGCTGCATCTGTGTCAGGTTGATCACCCCTTCTTTGGAGACACTTTCTCTCCAGCAGCTTCCCATTTCTCCTTCTTGATGTCCATAAAAATAGACATGTTGGCTCACATTTGCTTTGCTAACATTGGAAATAAATTCATACTTTCTATCTACAGCCTACGTGCAAACCCCCAGAGGACTCACAAGAGAAGCCCCTGGGTGTGGATGGAAAGACAGCTCAAGACTTGCCCTCCGATTTGTCAAGAATTCCTTTAGCCTGCTCTTCTCACATTTTTCCTCGTTTGACCCCCCCACCTTTCGCCATCCCCCACTACTCCTTAAAAAGAAAAGAAAAGAAAATCCTGGATGATTCATGCCAGTCTTTGATTAAATCAGGATCAGTGACTCATTGGACAGTAAAAAAAACTACACCAGGTTTTTTTTTCCCCAAATGATCGCCTTTGATAATCTATTCAAGCAGCTAAACTTGGAATGAGCAAAGAAGCAGGCTGAATTAGTATAAATCTCATCCTAATCAGCTTTCCTCTTCCTTCTGTGAGTAGAGTGCCAGCCGTTGGGAAGTTTTTCTTATTGCCCTCTGAGATTTAGTTAGGATGCTTCGAAATCCTGAGTTAAGCCTCAGGATGAGGGGATATACCAGGGGTCAGCGACCTTCAACACTCAAAGAGCCATAAAGGTCCTAACCGGAAGCCCCCCTGTTCAGTTCTGAAGCCGACCCGAAGTCCGGAAGCAGGGCATCATTTTTCCTGTACCTGTTCTAAGTGAAAGCCCTATCAATTGTGGAGCCAACCGGTGACAGGGAGCCGCAGCAGAAGAATGAAAGAGCCACTTGCGGCTCCAGAGCCGCAGATTGCTGATTCCTGAGATATATAGTAGTCCTAAGATAGACTGTATCACTTTCAGATGAAGATAGGATCAATTTTGGATTCTTCTCATAGGTGGGTTCATTTTAGAAAAGTTATGGATTTCTTTCGTTGCCCAAACTCATATTCCATGGCTAAAAAGCCAGTAGGAATATCTAGGAAAATTATTCTTTGTCTTCCTGTCTGCCATGATTGTTTTTTGCAGCTCATATTGGTCTCTAAAAACCTTTCTCCTTCTTAATTCCCCTTATAAAGCTCTAAGCAAATTGTTTCTTAGGCATAGTGATAATTATAGATAAGCCCACTTTTTGCCTTAAAGAAGAGGTCGGCAACCTTAAACACTCAGAGAGCCATTTGGACCCTTTTCCCACAGAAAAGAAAACACCAGGAGCCACAAAAACCTTCCTGAACAGCCACAAAACTAGCATATCTTGTCGAAGTAAACATTCTGTTTTCCTCTAAAACTTTTCTTTTCTTGGATTTATCCATGGTTGTCCTCCCGGGGTTGAAAGGTTCAATAAATCATGTGTCGCACATTGGCGGTTGTGACGCATATTTTGAGCGACAGGGAGCCGCAGCAGAGGGATGAAAGAGCCACATGCAGCTCCAGAGCCGCGGGTTGCTGACCCCTGCCTTAAACCATGGTTTGCTTTATAGTTGGCTGGGTTCACATGGCACGGTAAACCATAATCCTATTATTTGCCCACCATGGATTTATGTAAGATGTTAAGTGAAAAATTTACGAAACTCCATTGTGGCTTAGCCTCCGTGTGCATGTCGAGTTCTAAATATGCTTTAATTGTATTCATTTCCGGTTCAATGTTTGTGGTGATTATGCAATGTTAAAGACAACAAATATGTTTCTTTTTAAAAAAAAGACAGCAAATCTTGAAACCAAAGGTGTGGGTTTTTTAAAATTTGCTTTATGTTTTCATAGTTTGTCCCCAACTTGCTTGCGTGTTTTTTTTTCCCCCAGCCTAGCCTGGAGTAGCAATTAATTCTTGGGATTAATTGAGTGCCAGCAAACATAGCTTGCTGGTTTGACAGCATTCATCTGAAGATACGCTGCCTCTCGCGCCTTCTGAAGTTTTGTTTGCACATCTTTTGAAACATCTTGTGTGTGTGTGTGTGTGTTTGTGTGCTTGTGTGTGCGTGCACATGTGTGTTTTTAACTTCAGCAGCCTTTAGGGTTTGCCTTGACTTAATTAAGGCTTTGAAGCCTGGTACAAATTGAAGCCACAATGTGTCAGAAAAGAGTGGAGCAAGGTGGAACTACTATTTCAGCAGATAAAAATCTAGGTGTCTCCTTTGGTGGTAAAAGGGAGAAGCAAGGGGAATTCAGAAGCAGTGCTCAGCCAGCAGCCCAAACGGGGAAAATACTACAATATAGGTAGTCCTCGAATTACGACTGCAAGCGAACCCAAAATGTATGTTGCTAAGTGAGACATTTGTCGAGATTTGTCCCATTTTACGATCTTTCTTGCCAAAGTCGTTAAGTGAATCATTGCAGTTCTTAAATTAGCAACACTTCATTCTTAGCTGAACCTGGCTTCCCCATGGACTTTGTCAGAAGGTCGCATGACACTGCAACCATCATAAACATGAAACGTGGCTGGCTTGCCTGCCGCTCACCTCCAGCTGTCAACCCAGTTCCTAACATACCACGGACTGGTACCAGTCTGTGGCACTGAGGTTGGGGATTCCTGGTCTAAAGAGGTGATGGTATTATGAGCTGCTGTTGCTAAGGAAAAGGGTCCTCTTGCACACACAGTATCTGTTAGTTGTTCCCGACTCTAGGGGGCGGTGCTCATCTCCGTTTCAAAGCCAACGAGCCAACGCTGTCTGAAGACGTCTTCGTGGTCATGTGGCCGGCATGACTAAATGCCGAAGGCGCACGGAACGCTGTTACCTTCCCACCAAAGGTGGTCCCTATTTTTCTACTTGCATTTTTTACCTGCTTT